ATAGTTAATTTACAAAGCACTTTCAGCCACACCAAACTGCTAAGAAAGTTAATCTACGGCTGGAGAGATGGCTCAGAGGTTAAGAGCACCGACTGCTCTTCCAGAGGTTCTGAGTTCAATTCCCAGAACCCACATGATGGCTCACAACCATCTGTAATGAGATCTGGTGCCCTCTTCTGTATACATAATAAAAAAATCTTTAAAAAAGAAAGTTAATCTAAACCGTGTATACATTGGGCATTTAATTTCCCAAGGTCTTTATAAAAGCAGGGGTATCTATTTTAAATCAGATCACGGGTCATATTACAAATCTGAGGCAATGTAACTCAGACTTATAAAGAACAATCTAAAACACACGAACACACTTTTTTTTAGAACAGTATACACAAAACACATTCCACCAATGAACTTCCTCTATATTAAAAAAAAACAAAACAAAACAAAACACATTATAGACTGCCATGGTGGCTCAGTGAGTAAGTGTGTGTTTGCAGGGCAAGTCTGATGACCACAGTTCGATCCACAGAAACCAGGGGAAAAAACGACTCCCGAAAATTGTCCTCCTTCCACATGCACACCATGGTGTGCTCGCTCTCTGTCTCTGTCTCTGTCTCTGTCACACACACACACACACACACACACACACACACACACACACACACAACCTTAAAAGATACAGAGCACACATTGTAAGCTGGGAAGAGAGCCCAGTCCATTAAGTGCTTGCTGGGCAAGTCAGGACCCATGTTAGATGCCCAGAACCTACAGAAAAACAAGGGTGTGGTAGCAGACTCATATCCCATCACTGAGATGACGACAGGAGCATCCCTGGTGGGTGGCCATCTTGAGGAACACCACCTGAGGCTGACCTTTGGCCTCCACATTTTTGTTCTTATACACACACAGGACTGCACACACACAAAATAAAAGAATACACATTATATACCCTGTTATTTGTCTTTATCACATCATAGGCTGAGTCTTACATACAGAAGCTGACAGATTGGGAGCTACTCAATAAAGCCTTAACATCTGCCTGCTTTGTGTTAAATTCCACCAAGACTGGATAAAACAATCTCATTCCGGGCTGGAGAGATGGCTCAGAGGTTAAGAGCACTGGCTGTTCTTCCAGAGGTCCTGAGTTCAATTCCCAGCAACTACATGGTGGCTCACAACCATCCGTAATGAGATCTGGTGCCTTCTTCTGGCCTGCAAGCATGCATGTAGGCAGAACACGGTATACGTAATAAATAAATAAATGTTTAAAAAAAAAAAAAAAAAAAACAATCTCATTCCAACAAACTCCAGCTAGTTGTTGGTACAAAAGGTAATGTTTTATCTCATCAACTTCCATCATGTTAGTTACAGGTAGCACTGCATATGGACTGGAAGCCACATGTATCTGAGCTACTCCAGTTAACAGAACGTAAGACAGACAGACTCTTCTAGCAAGTACTGAATGTACTTAAGTAGATACACATGACAGAATGCAATTGATGATAAGTCTTCCAGTTACCTACACGAACAATACCAGCTATCAGTAAATCTGACCAACGTTGTTTCCTGGTAATGAGAGTTCCCTGATCTGTTCAGAAGGAGCTCTCAAAATCCCATACACACTGTAGGTATATAATAGTAGCAACATTTTTGTCAGAGCACAGTTGTGTACAATTCTCTTCACTATGAAAATTCATGGTGATTTGCTCAGAAACATAAAATTTTTACGTTCCCAAACCACTTGTATACAAAAAAAACCTCCTCATAAACACACACACACAGAGACAGAGACCGAGACGAGAGAGAGAGAGAGAGAGAGAGAGAGAGAGAGAGAGAGAGAGAGAGAGCGAGCCCAGGACAGACACTACCCATTAATATGAAATAAATCTTAAGGAAAAACATTTTTCTGTTTATTGATGTTTTTGAGACAGGATCTCAACTCTACAGCCCAGGTTGAACCTGAACTTTCGATCCTGATGCCCAGTGCTGAGATTACAGGGCTGCACCATGTGTCAGACTCTTCTTTCTTTTTCCTTTTTTTTTGCTTGTGTATATATATGGCATGTGTGAATGCATGTATGTGTGCTTGCATGTATGAGTGCAAGTGTGTGTGTGTGTGGGGGGGAGTCAGAGATTGACATCAGGAGATCACACTCCACCTTACAAAGTCTCTCAATTGAACCCCAACTTGCCAGTCTATTTAGTCAGCTTGTTCACAGGATCTCATCTCCACCTCCTGAGTGCTGGGATCACAGTGGGTTGCCACACCCACCCTGCATTTACATCGATACTGGGGACTTGAACTCTGGTCCTCACCCCTGTGTGGTAAGCACATTACCCATCTCTCTAGCCAACCTCCATCTCTAAAACAAACAAATAAATATGCTAGCTACCTGTCTTTATATTCATAGTCCCAACAACTGTTTTTTAATTTCCCCTCCTATTATTGTGGACCTCACATATTCACAAGAAGCCACCCCACGGGTGCCCTGTGCCCTGTCCTACAACTGTTTACACGAAGCATCACAAACTCCTTTCCATGCTAGCATGTTCTGGGGTCTTTCCCTTAGTTAAAGGGGGGAGGAGGAGGGAGGGGAGGACAGACAGAACAGCACTCTGCCTCCTTCACACTGAAGGACTGAAAGATCTGAAACACTCTTCTCCCTGCCTCTGCTTCTCTGTTCTTGGATGTCTGTTTCTATTTTCAAACCGCTCTTGTGGAGACCACCAACCAATATCATCTTTCTGTCCTCTTCTTACACCAACAATCTCACTCTTCCCTCTCAGTTATGAAATCATCACATGTATGTATTTGTATCCTATGAATGTAAGTTCTATGGAAAGAGCGAACTAAATGACAATGTAACTCTACTGTTGTATCCCTGTCACCTAAAACCATCCCCACCAAAGAAACAGGCATGTGGCATTTGTTGACCGTTCTTGCTAATCCAGGAGCACCCAGTTCTCCATTCAAGAAGAGAATGTAATCTTTTTTTTTGTTCCAGAGCTGAGGACCGAACCCAGGTCCTTGCACTTGCTAGGCAAGCACTCTACCACTGAGTTAAATCCCCAACCCGAGAATGTAATCTTTTTTTTTGTTCCAGAGCTGAGGACCGAACCCAGGTCCTTGCACTTGCTAGGCAAGCACTCTACCACTGAGTTAAATCCCCAACCCGAGAATGTAATCTTTTTTTTTTTTTTTTTGGTTTTTCGAGACAGGGTTTCTCTGTGTAGCTTTGTGCCTTTCCTGGAGCTCACTTGGTAGCCCAGGCTGGCCTCGAACTCACAGAGATCCGCCTGGCTCTGCCTCCCGAGTGCTGGGATTAAAGGCGAGCGCCACCACCGCCCAGCAAATGTAATCTTAATAATAATGGACACTCAATTCCAGCATAAGGAAATGGGATTCCAGCTGAGCACTAGCTCAAAGGGGACCTGGCAAAACACCATTTCGGTTTTCCATCGTTTTATGGTTCAAACACATTATGGTCTCTACCGCAAGGAATGCACTGGTAGAGATACAACCCTGAGGGATGAATGGCTGTACTTGTAACAGTGAGTCTACTCATACATATGAAGAAGAACATAGGGAAGGAGAAAGGGGGAAAGACGCATGAAACTTGTTGTTGCCCTACGATGTCCTGGCTCTGAGGTCAGAAGTGCCAAAGGAGTCCATATTTTTCTATAGGGTGGGAAAGTGCAAGGAGACCCGGGCATTCTCTTCACCCCTTTGCTGGCTAGGTCCTACTTGACTGTCATGGTCAGGAAATTTCCCCAGACCCCACGTTGCACATCCCTGGGCTCCATCTCCTAGATGCCTCTCCCTCACAGCTAATTCAATAGCCATATATTTCTGGAGTGAGGTGGCCATCCTCTCCCTTGACACATTCAAATTCTAAGTCATAGCTGTGCCCGGGTCAACTGGCTGAAAAAAAAAAAAAAAAAAAGACTGAAAAACTGTGGATGCGTAGATGCGGCCGCAGCAACCTCCCGGCCTAGAGTGCCTAGCATCTCACTGACTGCATGCACAGCGGAGTGTCCAGAGAGGCTGATGGCCCCACAGGGCCAGATCCCCAGAACGGGGACCCCATCTAGCTCACTAATGAGGGAAAGCTCGCGCTTTTGAAATACACACCACCCTTGAAAAGGGGGGCTAAGGGAAACTTAGCTGGTCTTTACCAGGAGGACCTGGTCTGGGAGTGTGAGAGCCATGGGAACCCGCAACCAAGCATCTGGGCTGAATTTGGGACCCCCTGGGTGGGAGTATGGTGGCTCCTTCCAGAAGGCGTGGGGCCGCCAGGGCCTCGCCTCTCTTCTCCGAGGCAATCTCCTTTCCCTGGGGGATGTGGCTCGGTTATCTTCCCCAACTCCAGGGGTCATGCATGGCCTCCTTACGCTTAGGAGTGACGGGGAGGTGGTGTGGCACTCCAGGGATCCCGCCACGCACTGACACGCCAGGTTAGAGCCGCGACCGACGAATCGCGGCCCTCGGCAGCGCAGCGCAGCGCAGCCAGCTTTACCTGCACCGGGAGGAGGGGCCGCCGCCCGCGCCCCGGCCCGCCCCGCC